CGCACCGACGCGCTGCTTCTCCGGCCATGCTGAGGCCGCGTCCCACACACAGCAACTAGAAGGATGTGCAGCTATGACACACAACTATCTACTGGGGCTTTGGGGGGAAAAAATAAATAAATAAAATCTTTAAAAAAAAAAAATTTGTTGATGCCTTTTACATCTGTGAATATTTATGACATCACAGATTGCTAAATTTGCTAACATTACCTGATAGGTATTATTCACAAGTTATGTTACATACATACAACAATACTATGAGGCAGGTCCTATAACTATTAACCCAATTTTATAGACGAGGAAACAGGTTCAGAGAGATTAAGTATTTGCCCAAGGTCACACCAATAGGAAGTGGATGAACCCAGGTCATCTAACTCCATACCCTACTGTCTTACAGATTATGCTATAGCCCATGGGTTGGCAAACTTTTTCTGTAAAGGGCCAGATAGCAAATAAGGCTTTGCAGGCCAAGAGGCAAAATCAAGGATATTATGTAGCTATATAACAAGAGAGAAAATTTTGGTTCCATCCCTCTGGATTGCTCGTTGCTGGATGGTGGGCCCACTTTGCCCCAGTTGGAAACCTTCTCCCAGCCAAGAGGGAGAAAGGCCAGTGGCAAGGGGGTGAGGAAAAGTGGGAAAGGAGAGAGAGGCTGCCACTATGGTCAGTTTAACTTTCTTCCTCAATGACTCAGATCCAGGTGCCCTCCTCTCCTCCAGAAGAGCCTGGCCATCTCAGCTGGTGCAGACTGAAATTCCACTGCTCGGTGACCAGCAGTCACCAGTAGCACAGTCCTTGGTGTGTAGGAAGTGACCAGCATGGGCCCTGGGCAGCAGCAAGGTGCAGGCACTGGCATGGGAGACAGGCACTGGGAGCAGAGAGAAAAAGGCACAGGAGGACACCCTGGCTTGGTTTCTGAGGCTCACAGCACCAACCTGCTTCAGTGGTGCATGGCGGTTTCACAAAAACAGGCAGCAGCCATGGGTTGGAATTTGCTGACACCTGCTATAGCCTCCTGGTGTAGACGGATGCCTTAGAATCATTATGTACTAGAAAGATCTTAGTTCAATTTCTGTATTTTTCAGATGGAGAAAATGAGGTCCACAGAGTCAAAGGAACATGCCCCTAGTTTTTCTCACTCCTGGTACAGTATTCTGTTTTCTATTTCCATAAATGCAGTTGCCTGCTGCACTGCACGTCAGTTAATTCATATCCACAGCTGAGTAAGAAACCAGTTGCTCTTCCAACAACACTTAAAAAGAAAAGAAAGCAAATGCAAGGGAAAACAGGATAGCCTATTCTATTTTGCCCTGGAAGTTTGCCAGAATTGCATCATTCCCATTTTGGGCACATGAGTTTCACATCTCTAGAATGCTCTCCCCATGGATTCAACGGGAATTTCCCAAGTGCACCTCAAGCCTGACTAAAGCTCATCCCCCTCACTCTCCCTTTTCTGTGCTTAGTAGACTAACTGGAAGCTTATACCAATTCTGTGGCACATGGAACACTTCCTCTGTGCTCTGCTGACTACGCAGAGATGTGAGCTGTGCATCTTTTTTCTGCTGGAGGAGGCACAGGGTGACCTCGGGTTAACCACTGCAGCTGTTACCCAATTACTGCTAGTGCTTCAGGCAGACCTCTGGCCCCTGAAGTGCTAGCTCGTAAGAGACAGCTCATAGCCATGCACTCTCTATTCCACTCATTTCTTCCTCCCACATGTTTGCCCACTCACCCCTGGGAACACAGCTGACTCAAGAGACCAGACCTTTCAGTGAAATCAGGGTAAAATCATGGAACAGTAGAGCCGGAAGTGACTTTAGAGATTAACTTGTCCACTCCACTTATTTTATTTATTTATTAATTTTTTTTAACTTTTATTTTACTTCTTTTTTTATTTATTTTATTTTTTCCCCCCAAAGCCCCAGTAGATAGTTATATGTCATAGTTGCACATCCTTCTAGTTGCTGTATGTGGGACGCGGCCTCAGCATGGCCGGAGAAGCGGTGCGTCGATGCACGCCCAGATCCAAACTCGGGCCACCAGTAGCGGAGCGCGCGCACTTAACTGCTAAGCCACGGGGCCGGCCCCGCATCAACAAAATTTATTGAGTAGATATTTTGGGCCAGGCCCTTTGCCAGACCATGGTCTGGAAGGGAAGACAGATTGGTTAAAAACTGAAGACAATGCAGTGTGCAAGTTGCTCTAATAGGACACACTTGTGGGACAAAGGGGAGCATGGTCAATTTCCTCTTTGTAGGGACAGACAAGGTTTCACAGAGGAAGTTAACCTTCAGCTGGCAAGCAGATAAAGGTTATTTCTGTCTAAGGGAACTGCATGTACAGGGGCAAGAAGACATAAAAAGACATTGCATATTCTTGTTGGTTGATCAGCAAGAGTTAGATAGGCCTTGAACACAAGCGAGAGGGGTTTGGAAGATGGGGCTGAAGAGGTAGACAGGTGCCAGATCCTGGAGGGCCTTATACACTGTCCCAAGAGTTTGTAGCTGAATGAGGCTGAACAACAACAAAAATGGATCAAGATTAAAACATGGTTTTTAGAAATATCACTGTGGCTCAACATGGAGAGCAAATTGAGTAGCAGTCAGGAGGCTGTAGTAAGGCCAAGAGAAAAACTGTAAAACTCTGAATTAAGGCAGTGGTTGTAAGAATGAAGACAGGCAGATGTTAGAGCTATTCAGGAAGCATAATTGAAAGGAAAGAGCCACTCAGGAAGTCCCCAGGTTTTTGGCTGGGGCAGCTGGGTGAGGGTTAGGGTATAGCTACAATAGGAGAGGCAGTTATATGGGAAAAGATAAGAAGCTCTGTAAAAAACAATTCAAAGTTGAGTCCATGGACAGGTTTCCCAGAATGCCATGTTTATACTTGGGAAATAAGCTGTAGGCAGCACTTCCACCACATTTCCTGGGCAGGGCTCCTCAGAGAGGTCAGGGTGAGTGTTGATGAAACACTGGCTTTTTTTCTTTCTCCTCTGTTCACTTACTACAGTTTTCGGTGAGTCTGCAGATTCAATGCAGGAAAATCTGTGATTAATGCAGTTTTCAAGCAAAAAACCAAAATGAGGAGGGCAGCCCTGGCCAGCACTAGTCAAAGTAGTGCTCCAAGATTCCTAGGCTATAGAGGACTCTGAGCCTTTGACGTGGGAGCCCAAATTCAGGCCCTCTCCACAAGACCTCATTTGACCAAAGTCTGGCTAACTCCAATTTTTTTAGTTGTTATTGTAAACTTACTCTGAAAGATTCTTCAGAGAAATGAAACCCCTTTGGGTTTTTCATCCCTGGGATAATTAGGGACCATTTCTTACATGTACCTAGTACTTCATAGCTTACAAAGTGCTTTCACAGCCATGATGATTTTTTATTTTCACCAAGACAGGGATTATTCTTCCCATTCTATGTGTTACAAAACAAGACTTGGAGGTAAAAATGGCTTTTTCAAGATCACACAGCTAGAAAGTGCAAAACTATTAATCCAGATTCGATAACATTCCATGTTGGCAAAACAATGGGGAAATGGAAGTCTCATACACTTATAGTGAGAGTATAAATTGGTCTGGCTTTTCACAAGGGCTCATTGCCAATTAAATGCCCTTATTAGATGTGGTTACCAGTTGATGTGGGAGTTCAACTTTTGGGTCTCTATCTTAGCCTCTCCTCCCCCTAGAAAGCAGAGTCCAAAATGAGAGCTTGCAGGCAGGGACCTGGAAGAGTCAAAGAGTTGGAAGGAAAGTCAACAAAAGGATACATTAATAACTTGGTCACCATTGTATGCAACTAGGGCTTGATCCTGCTGTAACCCTCTAAAGACCCATGGAGAACGTCCGGGAGAAGGAAGAGGGGGACATTTATTTAGAGGTTTCTATCCCACATTGGTCAAAGATCGTCCCATAGAATGTTAACTCTTTGACACTTTCAGGTTTGCCAAATGGATTTCTAAAGGTAGCCCAAGAATGTATTCAGGTATTAATCATAATTAAAAGTAAAAAGATTTGGGGAGATCCTGGGCCTGGGGACTGCGGTTGGCACTAGAACAGATCTCCAAAGTCAAGTCTAATTTTCAGAGTCTGACAGGTCAGGCTCCATTGAACTGGAATTATGGAAAACAGAATCAAGCCCCCTGAAGGTGGGAAGAAGGGGCTGGCTAGAGATGGGCAGGGTGTTTTAGTTTTCTGCCACAGGAGACTTTCCATATTCCACAGCTCGATGGGCAGAGAACATCTGATATCCTGGTAGGCAGTGCTACCAGTGGTCAGACGGCAGCAGAGACAAGGCCCATCACCAATCTCAGTCCTGGGGTTGAAGACAGAAAGTTAAACAAGTGATGTCAAAAAACAGTGGTTCTCCAATTTTGTGGACATGAGATTTACCTGGGAGTTTGCTACAGATTTAGATTTCTGGGCCCCACCCCCAAAATTT